AATGGTTTCAAAAAGTCATTAGAGAAAGACTGGGTAGAAACCACGTGCCAAGAGAAGAAGGGAGTCAGCTCATTCATGAGATATCGACAGTCATTGGATATCGAAGACTGCTCATGTGCTTTAGAGAAATATATCAAGGTATCTCATGATGAGTTATAATTTTTTTGTTTTGTCTTAATGTCTTTTGATTCCAGTATTGTAAGAATTTCATCATCCAATGAAAATTTGGAATTTGATGTTTTTCTATTAGATTAGTCTTTGTTCCTCATAAGTATTTCTAGATTAGTCTATGTTTGTTATTTCATTACTTAGGGGGAGATTGTTAAACCCTATAATTCATAAAGTAAAAAGTAATGAAAAACAATAAGTGAGGAAGAACCAGAAGACCAATGAAGACATCAAGGCAGAATTGGCTAAGTCTGGAGCACAACCAGAGGACCAATGGACGACCAAGGATGCGAAGGAAAGAGCATCTTCATCGACCATCTGGTCAACTACACTTAGAGAATTATCCAGCAATTCATCCAGATGCATGCGATGAAGACTTAAAGATAAGAATGATTCATCATACCATGAATGACAGTTGGAGATGACAAGTCAACAGCTAGATTTCAAGTTTATCTCGATTTATAGCTTATCCATAGTTTAGATAAACTTTATCTATTAGTAGAAGATTAGCTAAATAGTCTCACTAGATAGTTATCTTCTAATTAGCCTTCTAGTATAAATAGGTGATTAGGCCTATTGTAATCAATGTCGCTTTTACGTTTTTCATTAATAAAGTGAAATCTTTGTCGCTCAAGATTGTTCTTAATTGTTCATAATTTCTTCTTGAGTGTTCATCACTTTGTTCATCAAATCACTATAATTTGGTTATTATTAACTAGATTATTAGTGTTATTAAGAGATCTGGGATCAACAATTGACCTAAGGTCAAAATATAGAGTCAAATCTTAAAGTACACAATAGGAAATTCCAGGTGTTACAATAAATGAGCTCGAGCTCGAGTAGCTCGTTAAAAGTTCAATTCTTTTACACCCCTAGCTATACCTAAGGAATTTTCATTTCACCATATATAAAATTCTAATTCTTTACCAAAACTCAAAAAATGAACCAAATGAATTAATGGAATTTATCATTCCAATTTCTTCAAATTTCTTCGAATTCCAACGAAATAGATGTCACCTTAGTTCCAAAACAAGAAGTTAAGAACACAGGCAAATTGGTTTTATTTGGGTGCAGTTTTCCATTTGTTTTTGTTATATCAATTACATTGGCAACATATGCCTACATGTTTATCTTTTGCATCTACTCACTGTTAATCAAATATTTATTTTTCGCAGCCTTGGTGTTTTCTCATACATAGATGTACCAATACTAACCTAAAACCACCTAACCTAAAGTGTACCTAAAATACTTAAATGTGCATAAGATGTTCCAAAAGTATCTTATATGACATAAACTTAACTAAATGGTCTAAACCTAAGGTACATGTACCTAAAACGACCAGATGTACTTAAAACGATCTAAACTTACCTAAAACAAACAAAACCTCTCTAAAGCATTTTAAAAGTACCTAAAATAGTTTAAAGCACTCGCGTAAAGTAAATGTATATAACATGGCCTAAATGTATTAATACTACATAACATACATAGAACAACTTAAATGTGTAATTGCCAAAGCATACATAGAACAACCTAAATATATATAATGTTTTAAATGTACTTGTGTACATGTACGTATGTATGTACGTATGTATGTACGTATGTATGTACGTACGTATGTACGTATGTATGTACGTACGTATGTATGTACGTACGTATGTATGTATGTACGTATGTATGTATGTATGTATGTACGTACGTATGTACGTACGTACGTATGTACGTATGTACGTATGTATGTATGTACGTATGTATGTATGTATGTATGTACGTACGTATGTACGTACGTATGTATGTATGTATGTACGTATGTATGTATGTACGTACGTACGTACGTACGTACGTATGTATGTATGTATGTATGTGTGTGTGTATGTATGTGTGTATGTATGTATGTATGTATGTATGTATGTATGTATGTATGTATGTATGTATGTATGTATGTATGTATGTATGTATGTATGTATGCAATGCTATCTAAGAATGCCTAAAATGTAGGTAAAGTGACCTAAATGCACCCAAACCAACATAAATGTACCTAAAATGTGATATGCACCTAAAACTAGTTGCATTGAATGTCAGGCACTTCTTTATTTCAACATATATGATGATATTTGTAGAAGTTTTTCTTAGTCATATCGGTATGATTTCATCAAGACAAGATGTTGGGGTAATGGTTTTTGTCATGATCATGGTCACAATGGCAACTTAGAGATTTCTTATGTTTTTGTCCTTATGAGTGCTTATAAGTTATTTGCTATAATATGTCGGTACAAATACCAATTTCACTTGGAAATAACCCATAAACCTGTGATTTGGTTGTGTGAAACCCTTCATATAACGAAGTTTTCAATTCTCATTATGATGGCAAGTTGTCGAGGTAATGGTTTTGGTCATGATCATGGTCCTTGAATATAATTAAATGTCGATTTAACTAGAGAATTTGGCCATTAACCTCAGGAACATCGCATATTATATGTTACTAATCAATTACAAGTACTTTGTATTGAAAACATCACTTCTTAATATGTTTGTTTTTGTATGGATGTTTAATTCATGTGTCCCTTTCATGTATGCATGCAAGGTAGGCACATGAACAAGAGGTCTTTTCATGTTTACTTGCACAATGGTTCGAGGGAGTGTTCACTATTATTCTTATTTTTGATAAACGAAAAGATTAATTTTACAGTTCCTACATCTTTGCATTCCATTCTCTGATATCTTATCTTGTTTGAGTCACTCTTTCATACATATACCTGAGTAGTCAGTCAGGTCGAGGTCCTACTATGTACCCACTACTTGGAGTATTCTACTTTTTAAAAGATGTGTTTGTTAAGTTCCGTTCTTTTTAGGTGGGTCCAACCACAAGTCTCAGATTAAGGTTGAATTAATACATGTATATATATATATATATATATATATATTTAAAAAAACCCAAGAACATATTAATTCAAAACATATTATATAGTGCAATTTGGACAGCCTAACCCCAAAATATATAGTATATATATATAAATAAATAATTATAAAAGTATAAATCGTAAATATTAAAAATATTTTTTCACARTATATATAATATATAATAATATAATTAAGTCAAACACTATTCAATATTGGACTCATTTCGAAGGTATTAACGAGACGATTATAATAGTGTAACTTGTTAAAATAAAAATGCATTTTTTAAACATGTATTAATTGATATACGATTATGTATGTTAATTTGATAAAGATTTAAAATGAAACATTTAAAAGTAAAGAACGTAAAGTAAATTAATTAATTAATTATAGGGTTATAAAGTGTAAATTTAAAATTATAATTTAAAAAAAAAATCGGTTGTGAGAGGGTGAATGTATGTGAGGGGGTGAGTGTATGTGAGGAGAGAAGGGTGTGAAAAAGTAAAAAAATGAGTATAAAGGATATTTTGGTCATTTAGTATTTTAAGACTTTAAGACTTTTGCTAAATTTGCTTAATAAGATAGTATAGATATATATATCGATCACATAAATGATTAATATAAGAGATTAAGACGATTAAAAGAACAATTTGACAAACACCATAGTAATGTTTAATCACTATTAATGGTTTATGTCACACAAATTAATTAAAATATCGAAAAGAAACAACATTTTGTTATGTGATAGTTAACATTCACCAACTAATTTATTAGACATGTGCAAATATATTATAATTAGCAACTTTTATTTATTATAAAAAGGATGAGACCAAACAAACCCAATGAAAAACCATCATATTTTGAATGGGTAAGTTATTGAACTATTTTTTGAATAAATAAATCTTTGAATTTTTTGAAATCGAACAAATAAATTCTTAAACTTACTAAAACTGCGGTAAACACTACGAACTTTCATATTTTGAGCAATTAAATCTCTGAACATTTTATTAAACGAATAAATTCTTAAATTGTTTAAAAAAAACAAGTTGCATATTTTTAAGATAACGACGTGTTTAAGCCTCTTACAAGAAGGTAGTTGATCCCTTGAACCTAATGATTTTGGTGTTATGTGAATGAATGCTGTAAATTTAACGACTTTGATTTATATGGTTGAAGATGAATGGGGTAAACTTAATGACTCATAATTCACAACCATTCATTGATTGATAGGAAATGGACATGATGATGAGATTTGACATCAACAATATCTGAATCAAATATCAACAAGAAGACCCACCTTTGGATTTTTGGTCACAAAAAAGGATCTTTAAAAGGATACATGTGCAAGACGTGGTTGGTTGTCCAAATGCAGATTCTTTTCCACAACTTCTTTCCATGTTAGGAATTATTTCTCTCTCACACACACACTTTTATATATACAAATACATATATAATCGATCACTAATCAAATAAAAGACCATAAAAATATCAAATTATATGTGATTTTACAACAAAACTCACGTGTTAAATCAAATGTAATTACGTGTGACCTTGGCCACGACCTAGGTAGCGAGCCAAGTCGCTTGGGCAACCATGCATTGACCTTCTTTTGTAATCGCATGTGAATTCAGTACACTTTCATGTTCTCTTATTTTGAAATTGTTTTTGTTTTATCATCCTTATATATAGGCGAATAATCGTGTGAGAAATAGAGTGAAATATGAGAAGCGTAAGTAGGAATCTAGAACACATGAATCACGCTTGAAACATGGATTGATCCGGTGCATCTCACTTAACATGGATGAAGATTACTTATTATGCTTCTCGTCTTAACTCTACTCCTCATCGGAACCCGTATCTCTCTCTATATATATTTTGATTTTATAGTGTTATACATTAAAATTTAAAACAAAAATTAAAGAGAAAACAACCACCCATCACAGAATGCTTTCAATTGAAAATAATAAAACCAAAAAGAGGAAAAAGGAAAACAGGTATTTCTTTCACCAATTTACAAACGCAGTGGCGGATACCATCAAATATTTACAAATTCCAAAAAAGAAACTCTTCCCTTTTTTTTAAAAATATATATTTCTGAAAAGCATTTCTGTTTTAATGTTTTTGGCTGTTTGGTGACGTGGAACATCTTACTCTGATGAATCCGATGTGGCAGCTGCGTTGCCGGATCTTGGTCGCCGGAGAAGCTCAATCAATGCCTCCGCCTATCCACCATCCAAATAATTCAAATTCAGACCCCACCATTTGATATTTAAATTTACGTATTTTAATTGTTAATTAATAATCATATAAAATATCATGAAAAAGAGATAGAAACTAAGTTTTTGTATGTCACCAAAGATAAAAAAAAGAAACCTCTTATCGTTAATCGATATATAATAAACAATAAACTAAAGCGGCTTTTTCGTGTTCATAGATGTGCATCATTCGATGAGGTTATTAATGTTTTTTTTAATTAGAAAATTGGTCATGTTCACTGTATATGTCATATCTTTTTCTAAACCATTAAAGAATTCAACTGAAACCAATATATATATATATATATATATATATATATATATATATAAGTTAAACTTCATCTATTAAGACCAAGACCAACCATCAAATAGAAACCAGTCCTGACCCATGTCATGTTTTACTTTGATTTTTGAAGCGTTCAATTTACAGGACACATTCAAGAAAAGTCTATTATATTGTACGCGGTTAGAATTGGTCATTAGGAACTGTTTAAAGCATAATGGTTTGATCAATAAAGTGGAAGTCAAACGAGAAACACTTCTCGAGTCAATGGTGTTAAACTATCGCTTTCGAAAGTGATGTGCAATTAATCTTTGCGAAAATGCCAAAAAAAAAAATGGTACTCAGCTTTGGTTTCTTTTATATTAATACAAGTCTTTCATATCTCATAAGTTGGTTTGATTTGATTCTCTTTCCATAACTACATGTATTCTATTAATCAGTTTGCACTTATGTACTCCGACTAATCTCATTGGATTCTGATATTATTTAAAAGTTAAACAAAATCTTTAATAGCCTTGAGAATGCTCAAACATGTGACCAAGAAAAACAACCAAAAATCTAGCAAGTTAAGCTACCAGTGAAGATTCGATTTAGTTTCATTTTTATGTATAACATTTAGGAACTGTTTGGTTGGTTTTCCATTAAATTTTGTATGAAAAAAGCTATCTTTATAAGTTAAGAAAGTTTTTATTTAAAAAGGTTTTATCCTAAATGAAAAAAATAGTATTCTTTAATTGGGATGAATAGATTGGAAAAAATTTAAGCTTAAATAAACCACTTTTTAAATAAATCACTTTTTATATTATTAGCAGAAAAAACCAAACAATAATATACGACTAACAAATAGGATCTGAGTAAGATTAATAAATTATTGATGGTAGTTGTAAAATTACCTTTTGTTTAGCGCGCTTTGTACCGGATTGAGACAACGCAACGAGGGGAGGAATGGCTCCTTCGCGGGCCACCATAGTACGGTAGACCACACTATCATCACACAACTGCAACAGGATCACCACCGCGATCTCCTTCTGCCTCTGTGATCCGACCTCAATTATCTCCACCAACACCGGAATTCCACCTTCCTCCACCAGCGCAGCCCTGGCCTCCGGCAACGATGCCAAAACGCTCATCACAAATGCTGATTTATCAACCATGTTTGACTCGAAATCCGCCATTAATTCAACCAACGGCTTCATGATTCCTGCCTGAACCGCTCGAATCTTGTTCTCTTTCACCGAACACAAAGAATACAACGCCGTTGATGCGTCTTTCTTACCTCGAAAGTTTCCGGTTTCCAAAAGGTCTACCAGTAAAGGAATCGCTCCTGACCGTCCGATTGCCGTTTTGTTTTCTTCTAATTGAGATAAACGGAGGAGAGCGCACGCCGCGTTTTCCTTTCCCGTCGGTGTTCCGACCTTCAACGCTCTAACCAACGGCCTGATTGCTCCAGAAGAAGCTAGAAGCTCTTTGTTTTCATCACACAGTGACAGATTCAAAATCGCCGTAACACCGTGCTCTTGGAGTTGTGGATCAGACGACGAGATTAACGAAATCAACGGCCTGATTGCGCCGGCCCTAGCTATCTTAACTCGATTTTCCGGCCTGTTCTTCGCAAGCAACCGGAGTTCCATCGCCGCTTGTTTCTGATCTTCAATCGAATCCGATTCAAGATCGGTCACCAGCTGTTGAATTAGATCATCGGACATCTCTGTGGCACATGCGAGGACCAGACGCTTGCTCTGAGCCGATGTAGTCGGAAATTCACCGGAACGGTCACTGTTACAATCGCTGAAAGCTGCAGAATCGTCGTTTGTGAGGCTGATATTACTGAAATTCCGGCCCATATAGTTGTAGTTGGCCTGAATTTGGGTATCCATAATAAAATTCCGGTGGGGAAGTAGAAGAAACCGACAAAGGGGTAGGGATTGGGTGTAGGGTGGTATAGGTGTATGTGTAGGTGTAGGTTGATATAGAAGATGAAGAAGGACACGTGGACGACCATATCGAATCGGACACAGTGAGCACGTGGGAAAGGGGGTGGCGTGCGTAGAAGGTCCGTTATTTGGTGGGCTTTTCCCCCTACTTTAACTGCCCTGCCCTGCCCTGCCTGCTCTCTTTATTTTTCCTTTTTTTGATGCATTGTTAGTTGGTAAAGTCATTTTGGTCCAAGAACCCTAACTGAAACTTGTCCCTCTTTTTTTCCTCTTCAGCTTTTTTTAATTCTATAAAAATATAAACTTATTATTAAAAAAAGGGCAAATTGCATGAAAAAGCAACGTACTTTAACTTAATTTCTATTTTGGGTAATGTACTTTCAAAACTTCCATTTTGGTACCTAAGATGTAAAGTTTTAAACATTTAAGTACCCGGGTAACTGATTGAAGTATTAACCGGTTATCATACTGATGTGGTGAGTGATGTGGTATCCAACTCGGTATTATTTGTTGACCTAGTCAGTGACGTGGATTTTTTTTAATCTAAAATTAATCTTTTTTTATTGTAAAATTAGTCTTCACTTGGTTACCCGGGTACTTAAATGTTTAAAACTTTACATCTTAGGTACCAAAATGAAAGTTTTGAAAGTATATTACCCAAAATAGGAATCAAGTTAAAGTACGTTACTTTTTCATGCAATTTGCCCTTAAAAAAACTATAAATTTATAAAAGTCATCATCATTTTATTTATTGGAACTTATGAGACTGATACAATGTAAATGATATTCTTTTCTTTTGCAGAATAATTTTCTTTTGGTATAGATTTCATCGGTTAAAAGACTAAGATATATCATAAGATGACAATCAAACTCAATAGTAAAAGCTACCTACTAATTTCTATAAACTCGTAACTTCAAAATAGTGATTAGAATTACATTTCTAAACTTGATTAAGGTTTTTGGAAAAAAACACATGGGCAATATGTAGATCCAGGAGTGAAAGTTTTTTACAACCGCATTTTCACTCTATCTTGTTGATTCTTTCATTCAACAATGGGGAAAAAGTGGAGTGAAATGAAACTTAAGTTAAAAAAACGATCATAACTTAGGTTTTGTCAAGAGTTACGGGCCCATAAGAAATGCATCGAAGGAAATGGACTAATACTACTAGAATAATGAGTATTTCCGGCGGACGAAATCCGCCGGCGGGTTTCCAGCGGATTACTGTGGGACAACAAAAAAGTCAACTTATATTGGCTTCCGCCGGGAGTCCGCCAGTAAAATTATTCTGATAATATTTCCAGCGGAGTTCGTAATTAATTATTTTAGGCTTGTATTTAAATCTAATTACAATAATTTACCGGCGGATATTTAATTATTTTTTAAAAATTAAGATCCGCCGGAAAGTAAAGTAATATTTATTTTAAAAAATTTCGGCGGACGCTGGAGTCCGTCGGTAATAGCTATCCAAGTTTTTTTTTAATTAATGATTTCCGACGGATTTTCATTTTTTCCCAATTTTCAAACTTTTCTTTTCTTAATGGATCGTATTGGGCTTTAAAGAATCGTATTGGGCTTTAATTATGATAACCGAATTCTGGTTATCACCCGAGGTAATTAATATATAACTATGTGAAATATGGTTACGTGAATGCATGATAAATTGTTACATTTGATCATGCAGGTATGCGATTTATATGCATAATGTGAATGCATGTATGAGATTTTATGCATGTGAATAGGCATGATTTAAATATGCATCATGAGTTAATATATGTGAAGATGTAATTAATGCATGCATAATGTGATGAATATGTATGCATATATATATATATATATATATATGATTGGATGCGTGCATGTTTAGATGCATGGTTGGGGGCGGTTTAGCCGCCATGCCCTTTTTAGAAAAAATATAAACAGGAAGTTATGTTTTCAAATTAAGTTTCTTGCCACATTTTGAACTTAAGAGTGATTTGAGAGAAACATTGTCCGGATTGCTTATTTTGAAGAAGGATTCATCTGATTTCTAAAGAAATTCTTAAGGTGAGTGGTTAATTAAATTGTTTGAACCTTTTGAATTGTATATGGAATTATGTTTTAAAAAGCTTTATACCTGCGCTAAGTTTTTACTCGGTCAAGTGTTGAGCGATTTATAGTTAAACCGGGCAAAGGGTGAGCGGGTTTTAGCTTAAATCGATCAAGGCATGAGCGGTTTAAGGCTAAATGAGATATTAAACTTAAATTAAATTATAATAAAAAAATAAATTAAAGAAATTACATAAAAAATGAAAACTTTTAAATAGTTGATTTGACATTAACATTGATATATATATTTTTAAAATTTTTATGATATCTTCAAATTTATATTTTATTCAAAAATAAAAT